GGAGTGGTGGGAGGGATGGTGGCCCAGAAGCCCCTTCCTCTGGTCCAGGAGCAGTGGAACAGAAGGTGGACCAAGAGCCCTTTCCTCTGGGTTGGGAGCAGTGGGAGGGATGGTGACCAGGAAGCCCCTTCCTGTGGACCAGGAGCAATGGGATGGCGGCTCAGAAGCCCCTACCTCTGGGCCGGGAGCAGCGGGACTCAGTACCTTGGTCTGGTGGTCTGGTGTTCTCTGCGTCTTTGTAGTGTGGAATCGGGTGGCTGCCTGTCTGCAGCAGGGTGATTTGGTGTCTTCCGCGTGAGTCTGGACCTTAGTAGAGCGTGCACAGACCTGCCTGTCTGCAGCGGGCTGATTCAGCATGTTCTGTGCCACTGGGGACCTCGGTAGGTCATGGGCAGACCTGCGGGTCTGCAGTGGGGTGATTTGGCATCTTCCGGGCGACTCGGGACCTTGGTAGGGCATGCACAGACCTTCCTGTCTGCAGCAGGCTGATTTGGCATGTTCCACGTGACTAACTCTTGTATTTCTAACTCAGTATACCACCAACATTTGGGGAAGCCCTAAATTTGGTGTTTAATGGTCTATCCCTTGAAATTTTAAAATAATACAATCAAGACCATAAATTCACAGAATTCATAAATTCTTCTCTAGAATAAAGAAAAGAAAGAAAGGCTCCTTTCTAGGAACCATGAAGAGTTGGAGATGACAACTATCTTTCTCTTCCGTTTTAATCTAACTAGTTCTGTTCCTATTTCTTCCCAGCATTCCACAGGTCACATTGCAATGGTGTCACTAATTCAAGACAACAAACTAGGAAAGACTTCCTGGTCCCTCTGATATACTTGTGATATCTATGAACTTTTCTCCAACGCACTGCCTTCCCCTTCTGCAACAATCCCTTCATATGCTTCACCTCCTACCTCATCTCTGGAGCAGAAATTAATTAATGAACTGTCACTCTGAATGATGCAGACCTTGAAACACTTCTAAGCCATTTATTTTGAATGTTTCTCCTTATATATAACCTTGAAGTCTCTAAATATATGATAGATGGCTATAAATGAGTCTGTACCTGATTCTTCATTTTATTTTTCATGTGTATATTTAGAAAGATTTATAATGGGAAAAAGTTACAGTATGTTCTCATAAGTAGTCACCAATAGAACAACTGGCCTTCTGGTTGATGCAATCCCTAGCATAACTTCTATTTCTCCAACCTGATTAGCATAAAGTACATTTGCTTAATTTTCAAGAATCAAACACTTTAAACCCCATTTATTAGTTTTTCAGATAACATTTCTTCAACTTTATTCAAACTCAAAGATACAATTATTACTTTGGTAATATATAATAACTGTGCAAGTAGTCTTATAGGCACCAACAAATTCTCGGTTCTTTTGCCCTTCCCTTGAACCTAGGGTGTGTGAGTGTTTGGGCCAATATCTTGGGGGGAAAGCAGTGTTCTGGGAATCCAGGGCCCAGGACTTAAGTGTACTGGTATCTTCTGCTTCCTTTTCTGAAACCCAGCTGCTCTTCTGTGAGAAGTCCAAGGAGTACAGAAGAGATAGCCAGTACCTCAGCAACAGCAGCCACATGACTGATCCATCTGTCTCTCCAGCCCAGTTGAGGGCCTCAAGAGCTGCAGTCCCTGACTTTATCACAAGGACTGAACATCCTCCTGGCTCAGTCCAATAAAGCTAGAGAATCATGGAAGAGAAGAAAATGAGAGTTATTTCAAAGCACCAAGTTTAGAAAAGTTTGTTACTCAGCAATCAGTAAATTAAACAATGATTTTTAGATCTTCCCATTTTGGCAAAATTAAGGTGTGAGAAATGGACACTCTCATAGTGCTAGTGGAAGTATAAATTCATATTATTAATTTGGAGGGCAATTTGACAATATTTATTTATATTTGAAATGCGTATGTTCTATAACTCAGAAATTCTATTTCTCAGGATCTTTTCTAAAAGTTACCTACACATGTGCCAAGGAACAGTTATAAATATATTTATTTCAGTTTATACTAGAGAGAATAAGAAATAGATAACACAATTTAATTATTTTCTCTTCAAACTTCCCACAATGAATGTAATCATTATGTACCGCAAACTTGCACTAATAAAAAAATAGATCAAAACATAAAAGCTATTTGAAAGGAAAGGAGATCCATCAATATAAGAATGGCCATATGCCTAACATGAAATATTTTGTATCTGATAAAAAGACATACTGCACCTATATGAAGCAACACTTTAAAATACCTCCAATACTTTACAGTAAAAGTTGAAAGTAAAACCGAAAATAAAAAGTTGCACTACAGCAAGAACATTAATAGCAAAAACACACATAACAATTCTATGTATTTGGATTGACTATATACCTAAATATATTGAAAATCTGAAGGCATTAACTATATTCATAGTCATCATATGATAGGCTTATATTCCAAGCAACTTAACATAATAAAAATCTTTTTTTCCTCTCCTAAAAATATGTGATCTAGGTCTAGTAGTCTTCCTATGAAATTTTCTTCTAAACAATGACTTGAAGATGTGGGTTGACTCCATCATACAGCTACATAATGTAGTACATGTGGTCCTTAGGTTATCTGCTCCAGGGGATGGAAGGGAGATAGAGGAGGTATATTGGCTCTTAATTGACATAGCCTACAATTGACAATATGTCATCATTGCTTAGAGTTCATTGACTAGAAGTAGACAAATGGCCCCAATCTTATGGTAGTAACTTTTCTGAGATATTTACATCATTTTTCATCATTTTCACCATTATACATAACACTACACTGCATGTGAATTTGACAAGCCAAAAATCTCTTTGCATCTGTATATCACTTTAAAGTTTTCAAACTCCTTGCATATTCATTATCTCAGTTTAAACTACATAAAAAATTTCATGTAATAAGCAAGGTAGGAATAATTCTCCTGATTTTGCAAATAGAGAAACTGAACCCTAGAGAGCTGTGACAAAGTCTCATGGCTATAAACAAGGTGAGACTTGAACTCCAAGATGCTCTGAGTTCAGTTCTCTTTCCAGTACAGGTGTGTCTATCCACTTCTTGCCCCTTGTGATGATTTGAAGATAGCCTCACCATGCACAAATAAAAGGAACTTACCCAGAGAACAGATAAGGATTTTAAGACATGAAAGAAATAGCTGTTTCGAGAATATGGGTCAAGTATTTTGAAAAATGTTTGTTTCTATGTCTGTCTCATTAAATGGGATAGGGATATTTCATCTCTACAATCCCACTGTCTGGCACAGGGCCTAATATGTTGAGCCCTAGCTATTTATTGGAAGTGTGGTTGAGTGGATGGATGGTCGGGTGACTGGATGGATGGACATATGAATGCATGTTTGAACAGATGTTGACAAAGATATGCCTTCTATATCTTCCATAATAAAATCATAACTTTTTAGACCTTGAATAAATCTAGACCCTTGTTCCTCCAATGTGTTCCCTGAATCACTAATGTCAACATCATCAGGAACTTGTTAGAAATGAAGATCTCGGACCTCATTCTAAACTTACTAAATTAAAATCTTCATTTTAACAGATCTCGGGGTGGATAATAAGCACATTAAAGTTTTAGTAATCCCAAATCCACTTACTGGTCTTGACTTAACTCTTCTTATTATATAGACAGGGAAGATCATTAACAGTCTCCAAGATGTCTTGTGACTTGGATGAAACACAAGCTGGAAGCCCAGTCCCACCTTCCAACCTCAGCAATCTGGTGCTTCTTCTCAACATAAAGAGATGAACAATAAACAGATCCTGCTTAAATTCAATGCATTTACTCTCTGTTTGGAGGCATGGTGGGAGGATATGCCTTTAATAATTTGAGTGCAGAGCAGGAAGCAGTACCCCAGCATTACATATACATCTTCCTTTTCTCACCTGCTCTGGCATCCTTTTTTCCACCTGGACTTCCTCCCTAGGCTGGTCCTGGTTCTCAGTTTTACCATCAGCACATGAAATCATTCATGGGAGAGCATGCTAAGGACAGCCTATGAGTAGATAGCACAAAAGGAAATTAAAGTCATATTGACTCAAACATTTTCACAAAGGTGATCTCCCATAATTATCCAAACCAATGAAGCTGACATTGCATGTATACACAGAGACAGGAAAGTAAGCTCAAGGAAGGTAAGTAACTTCTCGAAATCACTCTGTAAATGCATAATCTTTGTTTATAAAGTCTAAATGGCCTGAGATGAACCCTCCTAGATGGCTCATGTACAGAATAGTTAGTGTGGCCAGTAATATCCATTTTTCCAGTTTAGGATGATGCAATGGAGGCAAAGGTCCCCTGGATTTAGGATGATAGTGTCTGGACCCCTTTGAAAACACTGGGAAGAGTTATTGGAGAGCTGCCCAGTTCTAAGCCTCCTGGCCATATTCCATCCATACTCAGAGCCACAGGGCCCAGAAAATGTGCTCTGAACACTTTTGAGACTTCAGATAGCTCTTCTGCCATGGAGATATGCCTGTTCTCTATGACTTCAACTCAGATGACCACACACAGTAAGCATTACCATTACCTCAATACATATTATCAGCACAAAGTGCAAAAGTTTCCAGGACACAAAGAACCACTAAAAAGTCCTCTAATATTCTAACTGCATTTGGATCAGGCATGATTTTCTAAACATTAGGTTCCCAACAATTCTGTTCCTTGAGACACAAATCTAGGAGATGATTCCAAGTGAGTTGATATGGAAATCAGGAAGCAACAATTTATTATTAAGAGATCCACATTGTTTTTTATGTACTTGCCACAAAAATTTAATGTTTCTCTGGATAAAGAAGATGTGAGTTTTTATAAAATGGAGTACTACTCAGCCATAAAGAATGAGAAACTAGAGACATTTATAGCTAAGTGGATGCATATTGAGGACTTACTCTTAAGTGAAATAAATAGGGCACACATGTGTAAATGCCTAATAGTTTCTCTAGTGTGAGAAACTGAAAGTGTAAATAAGGATTAAAATGATTAAAACGAATAATTGATAATTTGAAATAGGAAAAAAAGGTCCAAAGGGGTGGGGAAGTGGGAGTGGAAGGGGAAAGGAAAGAAGGGAAACGAAAAATTATGAGAAAAGGAAAAAATGGAGACAAAGTCTTTGTAAATAGGGAAGGGTGGAGGGGGGAAAGGGAGCACAGGGAACGGGGAAAAAATAAGAACCAAGATACATCATGTACAGGTACAAGCACCCAATGATAAATGTAAACATATTGTATATCTAAAATGTACCAATAAAAGAATTTAGGCAAAAAAAAAATTTAATGTTTCCGTCCCTCTGAGAATTGGCAATGAACTAAGAATCAGATCAATCTAGACTCTAAGATCTTAGGAAACATTTGAGATTCAAAGTCTCCTTCTTTGCTTAGATCAGACAGGGTCTGAATATAGAAATGATGGTGTGCCACTTCAGTTGATAATACAGATAACCCATGTTTTCTAAAAGATGTTGGGGAAATCACCCACCACCAATATTTGCCTCTGATCCTGCTGCCCCCCTACACTGCATTCTTATCCCTTTTCTACTTTAATCTCTCCACCCCACTTATCTTTTATAAAGGATAAAAAATGTGGTTAGAGCACTATAATTTATTGTGGCACTGCACTTGCCAAAGATAGAATTACTCAATTACTGAAAAAAGATAGAGACACAACTGGAGACTTACTTGGATCTGAGGGAAATAATCTTCTGGTTTAAAATAGGGAATCCCCACAGCTCTCAATAGAGAAGATGCTAAGGGCTCCTCCTAGGAGGGTAAGGGCCCATCTTTCCCCACTTAGAAGTGACAGAGCATAAGGACTCGTGAGTTCCCCTTCTACATTCCAGAATGACAACTGGATGAGTTATTGGTGTTAGCAGAATTTTTTTAGCCCATATTGCTCACTGAGGGGAGAATTCATAATTCATTTCCCACAGAAACATGGTAAAGATCTTATTGAAAGTATGCAGTCTCTGAACTTTAGTCACATCAAGAGTTGAGATAGTATTTATGGGCACCTCACCAGCTTTTCTAAAATCATCCATTATATGGAGAAGGAGACTTGAATTTATAAGCAAATTATCTCCAAATAAAAAACATTTGGAACATTGTATTCAGAGAGCATAAGGGGATACATTCAGATCCTCTAAGTGGGAAAGAAAACAAAATGAGAATAGAGGGTTAAGAGCCATTTCTTTAGGGGATTTGTTTTCCGTTTGTTTTGTTTTGTTTTTCCCCTCTGCACCATGGAAGATTCTAGAGTTAACCAAAACTTTAAACTAAAGAAAGCAACTTCCCTTCCTGCCTTTTGAATTCTAGTTTTTGAAAGAATGGCTGATGAATAGGATATGACCAAAAATGTATCTTTTTATAAAGCTATAGTCTTCCAAAAGTCTCTAAACTCACATGAAGGCTTTTTGAAGTAATTTTGTAAAAGTTCAAGGTATACCATTTCCAAAAAGTTGCTGATGAGCACCATCTGTTGAACATTACCCAAACTCTGCCTTTTAGGAAATTTCATCATACCTACCTAACAAAGATTCAGTACTTCTCTTGCTCAATAATCTTTGGAATATTTAAAGAAATTCCTGGGACCCCAGGCAGCCTTTTGAATTCATCTGAAAATTTTATCTTGGTTCTTTGTATAGGCACTGAGATTGAGTTAGAGGTTCAGTTTCCAGAGAAAAATGCAAAATGGGCCCTTTCTGGAAATGAAGTGCCCCACCCCCACCTGGAACATCTCTCTAAGAGGGCTAGGACTTAGCTTTAATTCAGTGGTAGAGAATCCATGGCACATATGCCAGAGTGGGGTGTTTGTATCATTGAAAGCTCTAAAGTGTTCACCATCACAGTCCTAATTTGTTGAGGTGAAAGGTGCTATCCAAGCAACCCTTCCTCCCCTTCTTACATTTTGAGGTGACTGTAAAGAAAGCTTCAGTCACTTGAGAATATATCAGATTGTCCTCAAAATTCTTTTCTTCACTATTGACAAAATAAGATCATGACTATCCAGTCTGAATTAGGGCCTCCACTTGACAATGGCTGTCATTTTCTGGCTAATAAAATAATATATATATGAGAGAGAGAGAGAGAGTGGTTGTGTGTGTGTGTGTGTGTGTGTGTGTGTGTGTGTGTGTGTGTGTGAGAAACACCCTGGCTGATCCTTCAAATTTTTAATATGCTGTGTTCCGGTTGCTGACTAAAAATGCCATCATCCTATGAAGCAAGCATAATGTTAGCTCTGGATTTCCTTCCCTCAGAGCTAACCAACTTCTTTCCACTCAATACTGAAGATTTAGCACTATCATTTTTGTATTCTTCATAAATCCTTTATGATGCTGTTAGTCTCTCGGGTTCTTTTTTGCAGCCAGAAGAAAATCTGACTCACACAACAGAACAGTCCTACCAAGGGAAGATAGGGTTTTGCTAACAAGGAGACAGCAATATGGTACTAAGAATATGGGCTGGAGTCAACTTTCCAACTTCCTAGATGTATGACTGTGAACACGACCTAATCTCTACATCTTAATTTCTTATTCTGTGAAATGGGGTAATGTTGCCACATAGAGTTGCCATGCTATTTAAAATGAGATCCTGTTTTATAAGTCATTTAGTACACCTTAAGTATATGATCTTTTTTCTCATTTTCTTCTTCAACTTTAATAAGGGATAGAGCATTTCTTCCAGGATGTCTCATCAGAATTCAGAGAGGTTACCTTTGCTGTTTGTCCCAGGAAGATCTGCAGTGTGATATTGCAGAGTCAGCTCATAAAGTATGCATGAACTCTCTCCAAACCACTGTTTTCACACAAGAAATAAATCACTTTCCTGTAGGTATTTATAAATAAACAGGAAAGGTCTCCAGTCACATTTTTGCATGTATAGAATGCATACATCCACACTTCTCAAGGGAACAGCTGAAAAGATATTAAGGGAAAAAATTATCTATGCAGATAAGTTAAAAATCACCAAATGCAACTGTAATAAAATCAGTTCAGATGAAACTGGCAAAAGTTTAAAAAGAAAGTTTTGTTTTTTCTATTGCTTTTCTTTCCTTTCTTTCCTTTCCTTTCCTTTCCTTGGTTCATGTAGTAGTTATGGTTCTCTAGAGGAACAGAACCAATGGAAAAACAGTAAATATATACAAGGAGATGTATTAGGTACAGGATCAGAAGTGGGAGAGTCCACAGTAGCTGTCTGCAGGATCAAAGGCAGAAGAATCCACAACGGCTCTGTGTGCTAGAGCCAGATGATCCAGTAGCTGCTCAGCCCAAGAAGATGGAAGCTGCAGAAACAGTAGTAATCAGGAATGCACCACCTGCCAAAGGTCAAAGTCCTGGAAGCTCACTGTAGAGTAGCCACTGTGAGTCTGAGGTGGAAAGCTGAATGATGAAGACTGGAGCTCTTCCAAAATGGGGGCTTTTCCTTCTTTCCCTGTTTATCCTGTCCAGGCTGCAAGCCTATTGACTGGTGCTGCCCATGTCAGGGATGGATCTTCCCCCCTCAGTTTGCTGGCCTTCATGCCAATCATCCATAGACATACCCAGAACTGTGCTCTACTACTCTGCTTGGCTTTCTTAATCCATTAAAGTTGACACATCATGATTAACAATCACAATTCATAAATTGGGGCTTCAAAGAATTTTATCTCACACCAGCCAACAGACAAAAAAACCCTCTCTATTGTGTTGATTGGTAATTGATTAGCTAAACATGCCTGCAAATAATCTTAGCTTTCAATATCAACATGATGAAATTACAATAGAAGCAAAAACCCATCCATTGTTCATTTTTTGATTCATCAAGTACTAATTCAATACCTAATTTAAGCCAGGTAGTGCTCCAGGTGCTGGGGATAGAACAGTGAATCAAATAGTTAAAATACTTCTTCATTCACAAAGTTTAACATTCTGATGGGACAGATAATAAACACGCAAACAAATAAATCAATGATATAATTTCAGAGAATAAGTACTATGAGAAAATATAACTGGATAGCACTGTTTACTAGAAGTCAGCATTCTGAGACTTTTCTGAGACAATATTGCTCAAAATCTGAATGACAAAGCTGAGCCAAGAAGCAATTTGGAGATGGAACAGGCAGACAAAAGAAACAGCAAATCCAAAGAGTGTGAGGCAGAAACCCGGTGCACATGGTTGGGACAAAAACAAGGCTGCTGTGTTGGGCCAATAAAGTCAGAGAGGCACAGGCTATGCCTCTCCAATCTGAATGTGGTAAAAATCACCTGGGGATCTTGTTAAATGTAAAATCCAGTAGGTTGAGTGGGGCCTATGATTCTGCAATTCTAACAGGCTCCCGGGCAAAGGCCAGTGCCACAGGCCCAAGGAGCCCACTGTGGTCAGCAAGTATGTAGAGTCCTTATCTGATGCTCTTATGGCTACAGAGCCCTTCTCAGTTATAAAAAGGGCTTGTACTCTTAGTATTTCCACATGTCCCATACAAGGCTAAGTACTTGGGAGGACCACTGTAAATGCTTGGGTTAGGTGATAAGGATGATTAACCAAGCATGTCAGACCCACAGCCTATGACCCCATGCACCTCTGGACAACTAGTAATGCAGCCCTGCAAGATCACAAAGTTTTGACATTATCGTGTGATTTTTATGATTTGATTGTATGTTGATAGATCACAGACAGCATAGGCAACAACAAAAGTGCTAACCCCACCTCCTGCCCCAGCAACACACAGTCATGAAATCAAAACTCATGTGTAGCAGATACTACATGCACTTCATTTCAGCAAATTAGCAAGTAAAACACAGTGATTAACAATAATAGTATTTCAATATTCCTACATGTGTGTATGTCTAAGAACATAGGGTTTTATTGTTATTAAATAGACATGTAAGTTGTTTTATTTAATTATTAAATTTGGTACTGTTGTTTTACTTCATAAGATAATTTAATAAGTTACAATAGAAAAAGTAGGAAGTTTTGTTACTTATATACATTAGCTATATTATATGTTTTACATGCAGCCCAAGACAATCCCTCCTCTCTCAATGCATTCAATGGCATGCCAAAATGTTGGACATGTATGAATTCAAGACCTTGTTTTGAGGCTTGGCTGATGTTAGAAAAAGTAGCAAAAATAAGTTGGGAAAAAGATCATGACCCAGGGATGCAAGAATGGGTCAACATTTGCAAAGCAATAAGTGTAATACATCATATCACATAAACAAAAAGCAAAGACAAAAATCACATAAAACCCGAGCATGGTAAGACACACTTGTACTCCCAGCACACAGGAGGCTGACACAAGAAAATCACTGCAAGTTTGAGACTAGCCTGGGCTGGTGAGTTCAAGGCCAATCTGAACTACCTAGTGAAACCCTGTCTCAAAAAAAACCTCACATAATCATCTCAATAGATGCAGAAGAAGTCTTTGGCAAAATCCAACATGCATTTATAATTTTTTTAAAAACTTGAAAAAATAGGCATAGAAGGACCTTATCTCAATTTGATAGAAGCCATTTATAACAAATCTACTGCCAACATAATATTAAATTGGGAAAAACTGAAAGCTTGTTCGCTAACAGCAGGAAGAGGACAATTCCTGTTCAACACAGTACTTAAAACTTTAGCCAGAATAATCAGGCACGAGAAATAAAAGTGCTATGCATAGGAAAGGAAGAAGTCAAACTATCACTTCTTGCAAATAACATTATTCTTTACATAGAATACCCAAAAAATTCCACTGAAAGACTCCTAGAACTAATAAACAAATTTGGCAAGGTAGCAGGATACAAAACCAACGCATAAAAATCAACAGTGTTTCTGTACACCAATAATGGTACCACCAAGAACAATACCATTTCCAATATCAACAAGATAAATTAAACACTTACCAATTAACTTAACAAAGAAAGTGAAATACCTTTATAATGAAAACAACAGAATCCTGATAAAGGATATAGAAGAGGATATCAGAAAATGGAAAGATATCTCCTGTTCCTGGATAGGCAGAAAAAACATTGTCCAAATGGTCATAGTTCCAAAACCAATATACAGATTTAATGCAATCTCAATCAAAATACCAGCAACATTCCTCACAGAACTAGGGGAAAAAAACAGTCCTTAAATTCATATGGAACTTAGAGACTCAGAATACCAAAAGCAACCCTCTGCAACAAGAGCAAATCAGAAGGCATCACAATTCTGGACATCAAGTCATACTACAAAAGCTCTAGTGTTAAAAATGGCATGGTAGTGGCACAAAAACAGATATATGGAATAAAAACCATCCCAAGCACATTCAGCCATTTGATCTCTGACAAAAGGGCCAAAAATATACACTGGACGAAAAGATAGCCTCTTTAATAATGTGCTGGGAAAACTGGCTTTCCACATGTAGAAGATTGAACCTAGACCCATACCTCTAACCATGTACTAAAATAAAATAAAATTGAATCAAATTGAATGTTAAAACAGGAACACTTAACCTGGTGGAAAATAAAATAGGTAAAACTTTTAAAGTCATGGCATAGGCAAGGACTCTCTGAACAGAATCACGGTCGCACAGGACTTAGTACAGAGATGCAACAATGGGATTGTACCAAATTACACAACTTCTGCACAGCAAAAGAATCATCTAACAGAGTGAAGGGACAACCTATAGAATAGAAAACGGGAAATAGGGGGATAGAGCTTTTGTAAATGGGAAGGGGACCAAGAGGACAGAGGGAGGGGGAGGGGAAGAAGAGAAAAGGGACATAAAAAGAATTAAGATGGGTTAAGTACATGTACCAACTCCCCACGATGAATGTAACTGTATTATAAACATGTACTAATGTAATTTTAAAAAGAATTGGGGAGTAATGGAAAGGTTCTATATGGAGTTTGAACAATGCATTTGTAAATTCAAATCATATAGTACCTTCTACAAGATTTTTGGAAAATTATTCAACTTCTCTGAGCCATGCTTTTTCATTAAAAATAGGAATACTAGCTACTTCATTGGAGAGACATGAAAATCATATGCAGTTGTAAAGAATGAGTACTTTGCTTATAAATGTTTCTTCTCTTTTCTTCTCTTTCCCCAGATCCACCTGTGTTAACTCCTAGGCATTCCTATCAAATTGCATCACCAATCTATGAATTTTGTGCAGCTTATTGATTTCCAAATTAGGAATTCAAGGCCTGTGTCCAAGTAAAGTAACTGTTCCTATAACAGTTGTTGATCGATGCTTTAAAGAAAGTCAGGCCTAGGTTCTAGCCCTTGCTCTATTACTAATTTTCTAGACAATCCTTAGTAAATCCTTTGTCTATCTATGAGAATTACTCAGCTGATCTGCTAAACAAAAGTGTTGGAGAAGATAGTCCCACCAACACCCTCATCTCCCAATGCAGGCTGAGTACCTTAGTCGGAAGGAGTTGGCTTGGTTCCTAAGAAACATGGCAGGAGCCCTGCAGCAGAGATATTTGGGCAATGAGATTCAAATTCATTGAGACAACAGGATGAAGTCCTTACACATTAACCTTTGCCAACAAATAGCCTCATTCCCTTCTTTCCTATCTCATTAATCCAGGAACTAGAGTGCCAGAAATATTATCTCATCCTCACTCAATCTTTAATATTTTTAAAAGCAACTTACATCACAGAGAAAACTTGAGAACAAAACCTAATGGAATCAAATATGTATACTTTCTCTCTTCTCTTTCTCTCTCTCTCTCTCTCACTCACTCCCTCCCTCACTCTCTCTCTCTCAATAATGTTATCACCATTTATTTCCAAAAATATCTTGGAGACTAAAATCAATCTATACAGGTGCTAATATTTTAACAACTTGAAAATGTTTAAGAAAGTTATTTAAGGGTTTATACCTGTTTTGTTGTCACCATCTACTCCTCCACTCCTCCTTTTTCCCAGCTTTGGAAAATTTACTGGCTT